GAAGCCAATAGACTCATCCATCTGAAAACAAATATTAATATGTAGATAAAAAGTGACTAGAGAAGCTTAGAAGATACAAGGTTTTCCATACAAGTAAGCCATTTTAGGACAGTATGAAGCCTCACATTAAACATGTTTAACATATTTAGAAATATGAATAATCCAATAGTGAAATAACCCAATGAGTTGGGGCCTCGCCACCGCGACGTGTTGCATCAATGCCTCCCGATGCAATGATAAGTAAGCAAGGGTGGTTTGCTAGGGCGTTCCCCTGAAGCGACGCATTACATCGATGTCACCCCGGTGTAATGACAAGTAAGCAAGGGTGTTCTAAGAATCAACAATCTTCTAATAGGTTACCAAATAGTATTAGGCATAGACTAGAGCGGTCTAAGAGGGAAAATAGTAGGAGACTTTTACTGGAAAATAAAATTAGGTTAGCTACTTGGAATATATGTGCACTTACCAGAAAGAATATGGAATTAGTAGATGTTATATTTAGAAGAAAGATAAATATAATTTGTTTACAAGAAACTAAATGGATAGGTGAAAAATCTAGAGAAATTGAAATGACCGGAGATAAACTTTGGTCCATGGAAAAAGAGAAGAATATGAATGGAGTGGGAGTTCTTGTAGATAATATAATAAAAGAAAGTGTTGTAGAGGAAAAAAAGAATTGGAGATACTACTAATAAAAATTGTCTTAGGTGTAGAGGTTATTAATATTATTGTACTTACGCACCACAAATAGGCTTGCCTGAGAGTAGTAAAAGAGAATTTTGGGATAGATTGGATGAATTAGTACAATGAATCCTATTTGGAAAGAAATTATTTATAGGAGGGGATCTTAATAGGCATGTTAATAACGATAATAACGGATATGAGAGGATACATGGAGGTTTCAGGTATGGAAACAAGAACAATATAGGTAAATCGATTTTAGAGTTTGCAATATTGTATTATTTGACAATAACAAATATACTTTTTAGAAAAAGAGATGAACACATAATAACCTTTAAAAGTGATTTTAATAATAGTCAAATAGATTTTTGTTCTAGAAGGAAAAATAGGTTAATATGCAAAGATTGTTTAGTTATACCAGGAGAGAGTCTAAGTACACAATATAGACTGATGGTCTTACACATATCTATTAAGAAGTGGAGTAGAAAAACTAACATGAACAAGAAACTAATAACTAAATGGTGGAATTTAAAATAAGAGAATTTAATGCATTTTAAAGATAAGATAATAAAAGAATATATATAGAATATAAATAATGACACTAATATTATATGGAATAGCATGTCTTCCTGTATTAGGAAGGTGGCTAAAGATATACTAGGAGAATTTAAAGGTTGTAGATTAGACGATAAGGCGAGTTAGTGAAATAAGAGTGTGCAAAATGTTATCAGAGAGAAAAAAACTTTATATATATTGTGGCAAAAATGGTGAAGGAGAAAACTTGAAAGATTTTTAAACTAGTAAGGAAGGAAGCAAAAAGAGCGGTTAGTGAAAATAAATACAAGGGTTATTGAAAGATTCTTATACAGAGTTAGATCTTAAGGAAGGATAGAAATATATATTATATATATATTTATATATATTATATATATAGAGAGAGAGAGAGAGAGAAAACTTGTGTCAACTTAGCGGGGGACCATCCACCAAATTTCTACTCCATTGATGATACCTAGAGATCCGCTGCTCATGATGAAAGAGATTGTTCACAAAGGATAAAAACTATTGGTGGTTGGTCCACTTAGTTGACATAAGGTTCTCTCTCTCTCTCCTCTCTCTCTCTCTCTCTCTCTCTCAAATATTTATGATATATATATATATATTATATTATATATATATATATACTATATAATATATATATATATATATATATTAGTATATAATAATAATATATATATAAGCTCGTTAAGATTAGAGAAAGGAAGAGTATAGATCTAGGCAATATTAGGTAAATTAAAAGTGATGATTAAAGGGTTCTAGTGATCGATGGGGAAATAAAAGAGAGGTAGAGGAGTTATTTTTATCGTTTAATGATAACCAAACAAGTGAGAAAAATAGAGATTTTGACCATATAGTAAATGATATGAACTATAGATATTGTCGAAAAATTAGGATTAGCGAGGTTAAAGATGCTCTAAAGAAAATAAAAAGTAAAAGAGTCGTAGGACGACGTTATCCCTATTAAAGTTTGGAAATGTCTTGGAGATATAGGCTTAGGATGGTTAACTAAATTATTTAATAAGATTATCGAGACGAAAAAATGTCGAATAAGTGGAGGATTAGTACTTTGACACCGATATACAAGAATAAAGGAGATATACAAAGTTATTCAAATTATCGAGGTATAAAATCCATGAGTCATACTATAAAACTTTGGGAGAGGGTAATTGAGCAAAGACTAAGAAAGGAGACAAATATATCTGAAAATCAATTTGATCTTATGTCTGAGATGTCAACTATGGAACCTATACATATTTTGAGACGGTTGATGGAGAGATATAGAGAGAAAAAAAGGATCTACATATGATTGTTATCGATCTAGAAAAAGCTTATAATAGAATGCCTAGAGAGGTAATGTGGTGAGTATTAGAAAAGAAACATGTATCTAGTATATATATATTGATGTGATTAAAGATATGTATGATAGAGTAACAACTAGAGTAAGAACTAATAAATGAGAGACTAAATCGTTTTCTATTACTATAGGTTTACACCAAGGATCAGCTTTAAGTCATTATCTTTTTGCATTAGTTATGAACCAACTTACTAAGCACATTCAGGAAGAAATTTCATGATGTATGTTATTTACTGATGATATAGTGTTAGTTAATGAAATTAGAAGAGGCATTACTCTAAAGTACAAAGATGGAGACAAACTCTTGAATCTAAAGATTTTTAGAATTACTAGAACAAAAACAGAATATATTTAGTATATTTTTAATAAAATTAGGAAAGGAAGAGCCTATGATACATATTGATGGCCAAAAATACCTAAAATTAATTATTTTTCTATTTAGGATCAATCATTAGGCATGATGATGAGATAGAGGATGATGTTTTGATCGAATTAAATCGAGATGGTTGAAATGGAGTATTTCGGGAGTCTTATGTGGTCGTAGAAAACCAATGAAACTAATAGAAAAACTCTTTAGGACGGTTATAAGACCAACTATGTTTTATGGGTCAAAATGTTGAGCAATTAAAAAATAATATTTTTAAAAAATGAGTATTGCAGAAATGAGAATATTATGGTCTTGTGAATATATACTAAAAGATAGGATAAGAAATGAGTGCATCCGTAATAAATTAGAAATTGCTCTTTTTGAGATAAAATGAGAAAGAATAGATTAAGATGGTTTCGTCATGTACAACGGAGACCGCTTAGTGCACCGATTAAGAAAAACGATAATATTATAGATAATGAGGATAGAAGATCTAGAGGCAGACCTAAAATGACTTGGTTAGAAGCAATTAAGAAGGATATCATTAGAACTAATTTAACAAAGGAGATGACTCATAACAGAATGGAATGGAAGAACAGGACTCATGTAGCTGATCCCAAACGTTTGGGATAAAGGCTTGGTGATTGTTGTTGAAATAACTCAATGAGTACCTAACTAGAATAGTATCTATCCACTAAACAACTTCAAGTTCCAATATTTTTTGCCTTTGATACTGTATGATGAGAATAAAATATACTTATTTCTTGAAAAGACTGGATAAAGCTCTTAGTCTGAGTAGGAAAATGCAGTAAGGAAGCACCAAGACCATTGTAAAGTTATGCAAACAAATTGAAAATAATAAAATAAATAGCAAAAAAAATTCATTCAATCATCCACTCTGAAGGCAAGATTCTCCCCAACTCACATATAACGAAAAGAACAAGTCAGAATGAATTGACTTCATTCTAAAACACTAGAAATGTCACCCTTCCAATCTCACTTGTAACAAGCTATAAACAAGTAGCTTCAGCTAAGACACTAATAAACAAAACCTCGCCCTATCAAATAAACTTCCATCCGTTAGAAAAATAAAACAAAGTGGCACAGTCCTATAGACAAATCTAACATCCTAATCTAGTTTCCTCTAGAACTCATCTTTAATGGGCTCCCTCAAAAGCTCAGATTGTCGATGCTTTGACAGGTGCCTTGATGAAGACAGTAACACTTGTGGAGAGTATGTCTAGTAACAACTATATCATGATCCTGATTTGGTGCGGCCTCCGTTTCAGGAATGATTACAGTAAGAATGGAACTAACCAAGATTTTTTTTAGCCATGAGGGCATGTTTTCATAAGTTAACTCTTTGCTTGCTTGCTTGCTTTTTTGAGAACCAAACACAGACGTAGAAGCAAAATCTATCATGTTCTTGAAATTACATTTGAAAATTGGGGGTTTTCAACATTAGTCCCTTAAATCTTTAGTATTTTGATATTAGTCCCTCAAATCTTCATATTTTGATCTTAGTCCTCCAAATTACCGTATTGCATTGATATAAGTCCTTCTGTTATGATTACTAATAGAAATCCTAAACCATGGTTTGGTTATCCCTAACAATGATTGGCTAATTACCAAAATACCCTTAATAGTTTAGTTGGTTTTGCGTTCTCCTTGCTCTTCTCGTTTGCATGCAACTTTGCCTTGATGGCCATGGCGATGTTAATTTGGATCAAGATCAGCTGGCTCTTCTTGGTTTGCCGTGGAATGGTGGATTCCTCCTCTCAATCACTATTGATGGAGAGATCATTCTCATCGCCAGCAATCTCGCGGACCTTGCT